TTTATTATTATTATTATTATTATTATTATTATTATTATTTATTATTATTATTATTATTATTATTATTATTATTATTTATTATTATTATTATTATTATTATTATTATTATTTATCATTATTATTATTATTATTAAAATATATTATTTTCGAATATTATTTTTTTTAGTATCATAATTAGTATTATGCATAGATCATTTTTTTTTTTTTTATCAATAATAAACAATGACAATGATCGATAAATAAAGCATACTATTATTATCAAACAGTAGTTAAATAATTATTCTTATTTTTATTACTTATATTATCGAGGGATTATTATTATTATTATTTTTAAAACAAATAATTATGTTTATTATTATCGTTAAATAATAATTGATAAATGGAGATTGCTTTTAACCATTGAGACTAGGAACTTTTATTTAGATCATGATTATTTGGGATTACGAATACCTCCCGCGCTCCCCCCCCCCAACATCCGAATGTCATTATCGCGCACTAAAGCGTCAAATAATTGGCATGGCTATTGTGTTCAGCGTCCAGGGTATCGCCTAGTCGGGCACTCCCTACTAGAGCACTTTGAATCGCTTGCTATGATTCAGTACGCTCTTATCAGCAAGAGAAATAAGTCTCGACTTGGATTTTTGAGCGAAATAATTGAAAATGCCTCCTTTCAAGCATTGCAAATCTCAATCTCAACTGAGACCGTCTCAATTTGAATCAGAAGCACTTCATAGATTATCATTAGAGTTGAGTCTTGGTAACCAAGTGCAGCCAATTGTCTCTTAGTCATTGAGTAGAAATAGAACTCCTAAGCCTAAAGCAAACAATTCGCATTGCAAAACGATTGATCACAACACTATTTAAAGTTCTTCTCTCGGTTCCATTCGATTTTCAGCTACACAGGGCATCATCGACGAAGGTAAGCCGAGTTTCCAAAATGCGCATTCAGTGTTTGTGTGTCACTTAAAACCGATAAAACCAAAGACATCAATTAAACAACTGTCGTTATCTGTATTCTGTATACGTCCTGTGTTTTGTCAACATCCGGTGCGGAACTATATACATATAGCTGTATGTGTGTGTGCCTGTGTCTGTGTCTTATCACTGTACTTACAAGTCGTAAATGCATTTGCCATAAGTTCTGCATGCCAAAGCCAAAGATAATTAATTATAACTATAGCCAATTAATAAGCGCTCTGATCCATTGGCCTGAGTGTGCGTCCTCTCATCCAGCAATTTGTCATAGTTTTGAGTGTGTTTTCGATGCCATTGCTAATGCTTGCGGAATTCCATTTGCAGGTGAACGGCGACGACAGCTGGTACTATGAGGACATACAGCTGGAGCGCGGCAACTCGGGGCTGGGCTTCTCGATTGCCGGTGGCACGGACAATCCCCATATTGGCACCGACACATCGATCTATATTACGAAACTGATACCCGGCGGCGCAGCTGCCGCCGATGGTCGTCTGAGCATCAATGACATCATCGTATCGGTGAACGATGTGTCCGTGGTGGATGTGCCGCATGCGTCCGCCGTGGATGCCCTGAAGAAGGCCGGCAATATTGTGAAGCTGCATGTGAAACGGAAACGTGCCACCAGTGCCACAGCAGCAGCTGCAGCGCCCACAGCCGATGCACTGGATAGTGTTAGTGCTACGGCCATATCGGCGGCGTCGGCGTCAGCATCGGCAGCGGCAGCGGCCGGGCCAAAGGTGATCGAAATCGATTTGGTCAAGGGCAACAAGGGACTGGGCTTCTCGATTGCCGGCGGCATTGGCAATCAGCATATACCCGGCGACAATGGCATCTACGTGACCAAGCTGATGGACGGCGGCGCCGCCCAAGTGGACGGACGCCTATCGATTGGCGACAAGCTGATTGCCGTTCGCACCAATGGCGTAAGCATGCAGAGCAACTCTCATTCTTGCAGTGAATATTAACTAAAACCGTTTTACACTTTTGCAGAGTGAAAAGAACTTGGAGAATGTCACGCACGAGCTGGCCGTGGGCACGCTCAAGTCGATCACCGATAAGGTGACGCTGATTGTGGGCAAGACGCAGCATTTAACCAGCAGTGTGTCACAGTCGGGCGGCAGTCTGGGCGGCCAGCTGGGCCAGCAGGCGCAGCACTCGCAGTCCCAAACCCAATTGGCAGCCACACGCCAACAGCAGCAGCAGCAGCACGTGAACTCGGAATCTGCAGGTGCGCTCAACACTGTGGGGCAGTCCGTTGTTGATTCAGTCACAGATTCAGTCATCAGCAACTCCACTATTACCACAACCACAAACATAACCACTTCCAATACCAACAACATCTCCACCATCAACACCTCCATATCCACCACCACCACCAACAACAACACCAATTTAGGCTCTAGCAATAGCCATCTAGTGCAGCATAATATTGCCACAGTCAACAACAGCAGCAGCAGCGGCAGCAGCAACACTCTTAACCTAAACAACAAGAATAATAATAACAACAACAACAACAGCAGCAGCAGCAGCGCCAACAGCAACAGCAACGGCAACGGCAACAGCAAAACCAACAGCTACAATAACAACAGCAGCAACCTGGTTGCAATCGCTGCAGTCACACAACAACAGCCACCACAAGCACCCGCCTCTGCCTCCGCCACTGCCTCCGCCCCAGCTTTAGCTTTCAATGCTAAGCTTGCAATGCCAATGGCTGCTGCTGGTGGCACAGAGCAAAGCCGTTCCCAATCACCCTTGCCAAGGCGTAAGCGAATCATATATGAACTTCAACTAATCACAACTCTCGATATACATATATTAACAACTCTCTCTCGCTCTCTCTCTCTCTCTCTCAAACAAGAGCCGCTAAAGACAGTCCTTAATCATCTACTAGCCCACACACTAATACATTGCCAATATATCAATATATCTGCATATGTCTCTGTATGTACTATATGCATGTTTGCATATCTGATAGATATACTCATCTAGGCTGGCTAAACAGAATTTAGACTGGGCTCTTAACTAACTGCTAATCTATTGTTGCTATATCTTAAGCTCTCGTACTAACATCGCTCCTATATATGTATATACATATCATATATATATATATATATATATATATATATCTAACTTAGTTGTGATAGAGTTCGATTCCCGCAGCACTCTGCGGAGCGCTTGCACGGCTTTTGCTTGCGTGCTTGCTAAGCTGTTCGTATTCCCGTGTTGTTCGTTAAGCATTCAACATTTTGCAACACTGGCCCACAAAGCCGTGTTGTTCATTCCAATCTACACAAATCGAGACATTTGACCAAATACCGCAAATGTCGGCCCGAATCTAACATGGCATTCGTCTTCGTATTTGCATGCATCAATCAATATCAATATGTCAATATATTATATCTGATCTGTGTCTTATGTGTTTATTATAAGATCATATTTATCATACATCTAAATGTGTCACAGGCGATATATCAAACGAACACTCCACACGATTCTTATGGATTTTCTTTGAGTTTCATTTCTTTTCGTTTTTCTCTCTGTCTGTTTTGTTATATATTTTGCAAACATTTGATGTACTTACGGTTTTAACTGTTTGTTAAACGTTTTAGATACATATTAAGTTCATATTTCCATTGGAAAACTATCGATGTTTATCGTGTATCGATAGATCAATCTAAAGTAAATTATGTTCTATTCAAATGTAATTATTCAATGGGTATTACGTATTATGAGCGATAAATCTCTGATTTCTCTTAGATATCCTCCTTAGTTATTCTCTTTCTCTCTATCTTTCTTTCTAACCCTCTGTTGCTGGTTTCGGGTTTCTCCACTTCTTTGGTTTTATCAACTATTCTTTCTTTCTACTCTATTCACACTCTATATTCCACTCGCGGGAGATTCGAATCCGAGTCTCTTGTGCTGTGGCAGCTATTATAAATTTCTTTAAGATCTATTTACATACATATATATCTATGTGAACTCGCGACCTTCACTAATTACCCTTACCCCTCTCTATTTCATGTCTCTGAAAATGCACGTGTGTGCATTACTTTGTGTGTATGTGTGTAAACATTACCGTTACACGCGTTGTGCATTATTATTTTTGATTGAAAACCAAACAAAAAACAAAACGAAAAATCAATACATAAATTGGAAAACAATTATATGAATATAAATTTACAAAATAAATAATGTATATAGAGCCTGGCTCAAGATACGCATCGACAAATGTCCTGGCGGCCGTGCCACCGGGCACACCACGCGCTGTCAGCACAGAGGATATAACCAGGTGAGTGAGTCGCGCCCCAGCCACAGTGAATATTCAATATAGTAGACCACATTTGACAACATCAATATTTATTTAATGCCAACAGAGAACCACGCACCATTACCATACAAAAGGGACCGCAGGGTCTGGGCTTCAATATAGTCGGCGGCGAGGATGGGCAGGGTATTTACGTATCATTCATATTGGCCGGCGGTCCGGCCGATCTGGGCTCCGAGCTGAAGCGCGGCGATCAGCTGCTCAGTGTGAACAACGTGAATTTGACGCATGCCACACACGAGGAGGCGGCACAGGCACTCAAAGTGAGTAGCCCACTAAATATATATTTAAGATAGATCATTAGCTTATTTGCATTCACCCCACAGACATCTGGCGGCGTGGTCACTCTGGTTGCTCAGTATCGTCCAGAGGACTACAATCGCTTCGAGGCACGCATTCAGGAGCTGAAGCAACAGGCGGCGCTTAGCGCCGGCGGCTCGGGCACCCTGCTGCGCACCACACAGAAGCGATCGCTCTATGTGCGCGCTCTGTTCGACTATGATCCGAATCGCGATGACGGTTTGCCATCGCGCGGCCTGCCCTTCAAGCACGGTGACATCCTGCACGTGACCAATGCCTCCGACGACGAATGGTGGCAGGCACGCCGTGTGCTCGGCGACAATGAGGACGAGCAAATCGGCATTGTGCCATCGAAGCGGCGCTGGGAGCGTAAAATGCGTGCACGTGATCGCAGCGTCAAGTTCCAGGGACATGCGGCAGCTAACAATAATCTAGATAAGGTATAAATAACGCCTTCTGCTCAACAATGTGATACGAAGCGAGGTGAAGAAGCCATAGGCAGATGATATATATAGGTGTATGAAAGTTGAATGAAATTAATGTAATTCACAGTCACAGTAGATGTGCCGTTAGGCAGATATTTGTAGGTGTACGAAAGTTGAATGATGTTGGGGTAATTCACAGTTATTGTAGATGCCATATGAACAAATTTGGTATTGTCATATTATGTCTAGATCTAAATTTTGTGCTAGATATTAATCAAGATTTTTAATGCATTCAGCATTGTATATAATGTTATATGTAGAGTAAATTTGATAGAAGAACTTCTTTAGAAATCGTTAAGCAATATTGTGTTACATTTGCGAATTCGTCGAGATATTTTGCTATAATATTTTGATAGCTTAGAAATCATAAAAGAACTACTATTATATTATCACCTAATGTAACTATATTTTCTGTTTTACCATTGTTTATGGTAAACTGAGCTCTCGTTATATGAACATATTATATATTGGTTATATAATATTTGGTATAGACATTTTACTGTACAGTAGAATACCGATAATTCCAAATGGCAAGGGGATCAGTTTTATTTTTCAAATTATCGAGAATAATTTAGAACGAATTTCTTTCAGGGGAATAGAATTTTCGTTCAATTAATCACGATTTTTTATTTGTACGTGGTACAAAATATCGAGACTCGACTGTATCATATTAGAAGCTTAACGAACCTAACTGAAATGGCAACAGCAACGTCTTATATTATCATTATCTGCCTTTGCTACACTTCAGCCTACGCTTCGAGGCCTAATGACTCTGGCTTTTTTATTTTTAGCCAGACTTATTGTTATTGTTATTATTATGAATGTAACTTTTCACTAACTGAATGACATCCTCTCTCTCTCTCTCTCTCTCTGTTTGTTCTCGGTTATTACAGCAATCAACTTTGGATCGCAAAAAGAAGAATTTTACGTTCTCACGCAAGTTCCCCTTCATGAAGAGTCGCGATGAGAAGAACGAAGATGGCAGCGATCAAGAGCGTAAGTAGCATAGCTCCGGGGCGTGGCATTCAACCAAACAGAAAATCTATTGAAAACGAGATTAACGCGTTAATCCAGCATTTCAACAACAACAACAACAACAACAACAACTACTACTACAACTACTACTAACAACAATTACTACAACAACAACAATCATCGAGAACAAACAGTTGTGAAAAATCTTGAGCAACAGAGCAACAATTTATTTCGATAATAATTTGTTAAACGCTCTCCCACTTCCGCCTATCTTTCTCTCTCTCTCTCACACACACTCGCTGTCTCTTTCGATGTTTGTGTGGCATCTGCTAAGTGTGCGTGTCTTCGCGTTGTCTAATTGCAATTACAATAAGTGTGTGTACACCTGTCTATCTCTATCTGTCTCTGTCTCGGTTTCTCGTCGTCTCTCTGGCTGTGTGTGTTGGTGTGTGAGCACACGGCTGGAGCAATTTTAGGTTTATATGGGACGTACATGTATTGTTGTAAAGTTAAAGTTAATGTTTTTTTTTTTTGTGTGTTCATTTCTATTTGAATATGTTAATTTAGTTTGTAAGCGGAAACGTTGTCGATTTTCAGTTTCTTTTTCGAATTATATACATGTCTATTCATATACATAATATGTATGTATGTTTCAGAATTGTTCTCTTTTGCTTATGTTCAATAAACAATTTATGAATTATGAAATTTAATTGTACTACGAATTGTGTACACACTAACACACACGCACACACACCTCTAAATTCTTTATGATTTGATCATATTTCCATTCGGCTTGTAGACGAATATTGTATTTGTTTTGTTTGGTTTTTATATACATATATATTTGTGTTTCTCTTTGTTGATTATGTATTACAATTATTTCATGCATTTTACATTTGTTTTTCGTTTATTTTCATATTCGATTGTGTTGTTCCACACACAAACACACACACACACGCGCCCACACTCTTGCGATGGCTCCCTGCGATTCCTTCATGTTCGACAAAAACAACAACAACAACAATACTGAATATATGTATATATATACACACACACACACACACACACACACATGATTGCTGTGATCACCTGGATTGTATTCGTGATTTCTCTTGCTGCGTGCGTGTGAACTATGTGAACTTTTCTATACATATATATATATATATAACTATATATATAGCGAACGGATTTGTAAACAGCAACAGTGAAATCGATGTTAACAATGTTAATAATAATCAAGCGAATGAGCCCCAGCGTAAGTCTCTCTCTCTCTCTCTCTTCAGATGTCCCTCTCTGTCTTTCACCTTTTCTCTGTTACCCGATCTGCCTGTGTGTGTGTGTCACACACACATACACACACTTATATATGTGTTTATTTGTTATTTGTTACATATACATATATATATGTGGGTTATCCATCTCCAGTTGTTATCTGTGTACATTGAATATACATCAATACATATATATATATTATATACTATATACATAATGTACAACCTTTATGTATGCTAATCCTCTTACATTGGTTATGTTTAAGCATAAGTTTTGCACACGGTTTATGTTTTAGATGGGGTATTTGTGCTTGGGTCCCAGGAAGAGGTTCTCTCATACACACACACACACACACAAACACACCTACACTCATACACCCATACACCTGTATACGAAAACTGCATATGTAATTTGAGCTCTACTAACAAAACGCACATACATACTTAAAAGACCTATATCTCTCTCTATATATATAGTGTTAAGAGCTAGTCTGAATGTAACCGATATGTAACCTCCCCAGCTCTTTATATACATATATTATATACCAATAAATCAAGGTGCTTCAGCGTTCGCTACAAACAACGACAACGACAGCAATAGCAACAACAACAACAACAACAACAGCAACAACTATCTATGCTCATTACATTAATATATCTACATACATATATACATCAACGATTACAACAGTTGTATGTGCACACATACATACACATACATTATATATATAGTGCGTGCTCTGGTACAGCTATTTAACGCTTATTACCTGTATTACCCATAGAAGCAGCTATTGCTCTAGCCACGTACAGCTGCTAAGCAAGCAAAAGTATACAGGAAATAATACTATATCATCATTATAATCATTATCATTATTGTCATCAACTCGAGTCTCTCTTAATCTAGCCATCTATCTCTCTGTCTGTCTCCTCCTTTCTCTCTCGCTCTCTCTCTTTCTATCTCTCTCTCTCTCTCTGCCCTTCTACCTACATTTTCAGAGGGCACGCCCATTTGTGCCTCGAAACGATTTAATCATCTTTCATTGGAAACATTTATGAAACTATGAAACTATTTGAAACTACTACTCTTACATAATTATCTATATTTTTACTGCTATTCTGTTTTAAACTGACCAAAGCGTATATCTTTTTCGATTCTCTTTTTGTTTTTCTCTTCATTTTCCAGCTTTTATGCTTTGCTACACACAAGACGATGCCAACGCTGAAGGAGGTATGTACTTGACTATAAACTTGTTGCCTAACTTGAAGCAATTACATTTAGACATACACACATACATACACATATATACATATACTATATACATACACAACAATTAACTCACACACATATATATATATATATATATATATATTATCTCTCTCTCTCTCTATATATATATATATATACACTTACAAACTAATTCCATGTTTACTACATACTTGTATTATTTTTGTACATGTATTTACATACATACATACATACACGTTTACGTCAACTACACTAATCCACATGTAATGCATACTAAACTCACTCATTTCAATATATATTTGAGCATTTTACGCATCTTTAGCAACTGAAATATCTAACAAATACATACATACATATATACATACGTACATACATACTTACACAATATATTAATTAATAGCGAATAATTTTTTTGTGTTTTTGTTTCTTTATTTTTCTTATTTTTGGATCTCATAATTATTTGATTTCTCGATTTATTTATTATACAAATACCCCAAAGTCCTCTCTTAACATAGACTTAAACATCTGATACGTACATATATTACATATACCTATACATATATAAATATTTTTAACCATTTCAATGCAAATTGAAACATTTTAATTTTAAAAATTTAGTCAAAGCTATAAAAATATATAAGGAACTCCATTTGATATGGCCTACAAGTCCATCTAGCTAATTATTTGAGCATATATATATTCATATTTATATTCTATAAACTTGATCAAGAGACGTTTCTACATATATCTCGAAAGTCAGCCCAGATAAGGCCTAACTCTCTTTGACTCTCTTTTGTTTTTTTCGAATTTCTCTTTGCTCTCGAGTTACGTAAAGTTTTGGCATAGCTATAAAATGTAACAGTATTTCCTATATATATATATACATATATCTGAGTTACATATATATATGTATATATATATATATATACACCCACACACATACACATGCATCTTTGGCATATGTAAATAATTGATATATCATTGTGATCATAATTTTGTTTACTCTTCTTCTTAATTGTGTACAGTTCGATGTACTTATATTGTGCATATATATACATATATACATATATATATATATATATTATACATATATTGTGTATCTCTAGCAAGGCAAGGGATTCGCCCTATATAAAAGTCCCACGACGAACATACCAAATATCTTAATCGAAAACGAATTCTCCATTTTGATGTCTTGCATATTATGATTTTCATATAATATGTACACATGTACACAGACATATGTATATTTATGTATGCATCGAAGTATATAGCATATCGGCCAAGTCATATAATATATACATATATAATCCAACTACAAATATTTCCAAATGTCTTAATGTTTATTGTTTTTCTCTTATGTTCAAATTACAATCGCAGATGTTGTGTAAACATAAACATAATAATCAGTGATAGAACTCCATTCATCTGGCATTACTTTTGCTCCGGAGCATATCTCTATTATATATACATATACATATATCTCCGTTATTTCAACTATCCGATCATCAAATAATTTCTGAATTCAGATTACAATGAAGACAACCCGACTAGAATATCGATTACAGACACACACACATATACACATAAGAATATATGTATATATATGTTTGTACATAATCATATTGCTGTGCGTGTGTGTGTGTGTGTGAGTGTGTGTATTTGTCACTAATCGTTGTGCCAATTTAAGTTAACTAATAAGTAAGCTTATACTTATTTAGTACCTACATTTACACCTATGTACACACACACACTCTCTTCCTCTCTCTCGCTCTCTCTCTCTCTTTCTCTCTCTCTCTTTCTATAGATATCGTTTTACAGTATATCTTTATATTCATTTAGGCGTTTTTATTATCGTTTTCTATTTACATTTTGCTTCTATTAAAAATCAAAAACAACAAAATTAAACACAATATCAAATCGTATGATAAAATTCACCAATATTTTAGGGTTTTTATTTGATCTGTTGGAATATTTCAATCATTTTCTCTGACTTTCACAGTTCACCTTCATATTTCCTATTTTTTTGGTTTACTGCAATTCGATTAGATATATTTACTATATATATATGCATATAGATAAATATGTGCATATATATGCGTGTATGTCTGAGGCGTATACGCCCAGAAATATCCATATGAGCACACTAATATATAAAATTGTGATATGACATATCCAATAACAGGAAAATACAAGAGTTGTCTTTATGTCCGAAACGAAAAATAACTGAAGAGCACTCAGAAGAATTTATACCTTAGTAGACAATATGGGTATGCTTTCTAAATGAATATATAAATATATAAAACATATATGTGTAAAGTAATTATAGTATATACTGCTTTGGTAAAAATGTATATATTCCATATTATGCCTTCTCTAAAAGTAACTGAAGGAAACGAAAATCTTTTTTCTACATGAGCTCCAGAACTAAGAGATATCGTGATATGTAGTGTTACTATACGTTTCCCAAAGAGAACTTGGAAAAAATTTTGTTTGCTCCACAATATCTAAAAAATTAAATTTGGATAGTTGAGTAATATGATGATCCAATCATTCCTTTTCCAATGTAGGCTCAATAAATAGCCAGCTGAATAGGTAGTTTGATCGAATTGATTGGGTATAAATAATCATGTAACAGACAGATCTCTCTTTATGGATATATTATATACGGCAATTTCTATTTATATATGACAATATATATTAATTAGCCCTTATCTTATCTGAAAAAAAAACGATAAACCATTCTTTGGTTGCTTCTTTTTTGTTTTTCGGTTTATAAATATTGGTTTCCTCTCACCAAACTCTAGACATACACACAAACACGCCGAAAATAAACACACACACAGACCACACACACACACACACACACACACACACACACACACAAATACAGATTCTCTTAAAGATCGTTTAAATTTTTGCAGGTTAATCGAAATATATACAAATGATTAATTTTGTTTATCTTTTTCTTCTTTTTTCTTTAATTAATGATTTCCTTTTGACTTAACCTTTGTGTGTGTGAACTATTTTGAATTTTACGTTCAACAACAATTACAAAAACAAAACAAAAAAAACAAAACTTGAAAAAAAAAACCAAATTTTATTTACCAAATGCTTTCATCTACTTTATGCTGCCTACTGCTATTTACGACTCTACTACCTTCTGTCACAAAATCTACTACTATAAAACTATTATCTACTACTATTACTGTTACTACTACTACTACTACTACTACTGCTACTGTTACTGCTACCACTGTTTACAACAACATCAACTGTATTATTTCTGTTCAACTATTTACGATATTGTTTTCGATTCCGTTCCGTTTGATAATTCACAAATATATTTGATGTCTGTATCTACTTCAACTCTTATTGTCTTTACCATAAAACAACCGAAACAAATGCCACAACAACAAAAACAACTGAAATGAACATATATATATATAAACAAAAAATTTCTAATAATATTGTGAATACGTTATTCGATTTGTTGTGTTTTACATAAACCTTACCGTTTTTGTTTTCAACTGATTGAATCTATTATTATTATATCTATTCTGAATACATCAATATATATATTTATATATATATTAAAAAATCAATAAAAAACAATACATATATATTTGTTACAATCATGCGCTCGTTCATGTACTGCGACAACAACAACAACTACTACAACTACAACTACTACTAAATTAATCAACTACTTTTCCCGAACATCACAATCAACCAACCAACCAACCGACCAACCAACCAATCAATCAATCAATCAATGAATGTATACATACATATATACGTATATGTATATATATATATATGAATCAATTATGTGCAAATGCGCGCAGGCGAGATTATCTACAGAGTGGAATTACCCGATATGGAGCAGATAACTTTAATCTACTTGGAGAATAACGATGCTGACTATCGTAAGTCGAGCAACTAAGCAACAATTATTGTAAAAGATCCAAAAACAAACCATACAAATGCAACAACAGCTATAAAGGCCTTAAAATATTACAACTTCAATTTCAATTCATTCAAGCTTACGTTCTTTATATAAATATATATACAAAAAAAAAAAAAAAAAAAAAAAAAAAAAAAAGGTTAAAAATCAGAACAATATCCAGAATATATATATATATATATTTATTTTTTCTGTATTTTGTTTTTAAATATATATAAATTTTTTTTTTAACTTTAGTTAGCAAACAAAACGAAACTGCAAGCAATTTTCCTATTTAAATGCCGGTTACTTGGTTAGTTTCCCATCCCTCTCTCTCTTTCTCTCGCTCTCTCTCGTTCCAACTATCGCACACTCTGTCCTCTCTCAATCTCTCTCTTATACTATTTTTCTATAAATCCATCCACTCATGCTATTCAGCTCGAATATTTGCAATTGATAGAAATATTTCACAATACTCAACAAAGGTCTCATTATAGAATTTTCCTATAGCTAGTATTATTAGCATTTTATATAGAAGAATGGTCTTTAGCATATTACGAATACAACAAATTTCCATTTCAATTATGCTTTTTAATTTGTTCTTTTGTTCATAGTGCTAAGTTTCGATTGATCAGAAATGATCTAGTCTCTCAACTGCTTTCATTTATTATGATTTACTTTTATTTTTTATTCATTTGGAAAAAATTGAACTTGAGCCTATTTTTAGTTCAAATTAAGCGCTGCAAGTGTTCGATGGTTTATCGATAACTTCTATCGAGCGTTCGATACCAAAAATGAAATTTAAATATATTGCGCATAATCATGTGAAATACGCTTAAGCTTTGTTGCTCGAGCGCGTATTTGAAGTTTGTTGGCAAAACCTTTTGTTAAACCCCTGCTACAGTTATGTTTTATTCCGTAGCTTAGGCACGAGTCACGATATTTACGAGTTACGATTTACGAATTACGATCTTAGAGTTTAGTTTCTTAGTTGGGTGCATTAATGCCTGCTCTCTTCTTTTTCACAATATGATATCAATTTCTCTCGCTCTCTGCCTCCTTCAGTTGTATATTTTCCAATTTCGCTTATTGATTTATTTCTCTTGATTACGTTCCATTCCGTTTCAGTATACACATTGAGTCGTTCTTTCTTCTTTCGTTTCCCTTATACTTGCTTAGTTTCATGCTGTGCTTTATTCATTTCACAATTTCTGTAGCGATGCAATCGTTAAGCCGAAACTATCCAACACTGATAGATGTATTGTTATTGTCATTGTCATTTATCGTATTCGTTATCGATATCGTTCCATTGCACGCACACTCCCACAAACTTTTGACTCATTTTCGTTGCAACACACCCGAAAGTGAACCACAGCAAACACCTTTTCCGTGCCCCAGACTCCCCCCCTAAAATCAAAGAAAACTGAATCCCCATGAGCAATCGAGCAATCGATAAATCAATTACTATTAAGATAACAAAGAGGGATGTGAACGACGACAAAACATAATTAGTTCAATAGTATAATATAATGATGTATTGAAATATTGATGAAATTGAAAGCCTCTGAAGATATTTTATTATAAATAAAAGAAAGTCTTGTTTGATTTAAGAAGTGTTCTTAATTTATCCACGATATATCACGCCAGTCTGAAACTCAACTCATTTCCCCGGGCTACGAAATTGAACAATTTCTATCACATTTATTTCCTTTAGCATAATTATTTCCTCTCCATTTTGATCAGAGTTTTTCTCATCCAATTGGCTTTGGCGCGTACTTTGTTTACAACAATAATTGGCATAATTTCTTTTGATTTACTAATTAATAGTTGTATCTAAACATGAAATGCAAATGAAAATCCATAAGACAAGCGGTAACTGAGTGAGTAAACTACAAAAACCAAAAACCAAAACCAAAAACAACGAATTTCCAAACCGATAAACGAACGAACGAACGAAATGATCGATAAATCGATGAAATCAACAAACGAAAAGTTAAGCATTTATACACGTATATGTATATATACATATGCATATATGTTTGTATATACATATATAGAGTATATCTACAGTCGATTACTGTTTCCCTAGGCTAATCATATATACACACACTTGTATATGTATTTAGTATAGTTATAGCAACTAAGTTAAGTTATAAACGAATTGCTACTAAACTCTCATAGAAATCAAGTCATTCGTAGTACATATCATATAGATCGATCAATTGTTGTTTGTCTTGCACTAACATCTTATGTTTATTTCGAGTATTTTGTGTTGTGTTTTGTGTATGTATTAGTTTTGTGCACTTGCATTACTAACTGAGTATATGTATAATAATAGTCCCTAGCTAAATCTGAGTAGCGAATGCCTCAGATTTAGGTTAACTGTATTTAGTGTACTTTTGACTAGTCTGAATCGTATATAAACAGCACACACTTTTAATTGTAAATTTGCATAAAATACAATCAAAATGTGTATATACATGTATATGTATGTTATATATCTACAATTGATTTCGTTCAATTTTAACTTACACAAAGTTTTTATTAGCTTTTCCTTTCGCCTATTTTCCAATTACGATAATTTTCTCAACTCAATTTCCTCACTCCTTAAATCTATTTTCAAGCAAATCAAATATTTGGTATTTTCGTAGATTTCATTTTGATATTCTTATTTGTGATTTTCTATATATTTGTTTTTTTTCTTTTTCTGTTCTGGTTCAGTATAAGTTCTTCCTTAGCCTAATCGAACTATTCGCATTAGCCCGAGAGCCTTCGTAGACAATAAACTAAAATGCTTTAAACCTAACTAATCAGGACAAATAAAAGAAAAGTAAAAGAGAACCCTAAAAAATCCTATTAATATAAATTAGTAATTATTTTTGCCTATAAATATCTCTATTTCTCTCTCTTTCTCTCTTGATATCGTATCCTTTTTGCTTTCTATTCTATTTATATTTTTATGCCTATATTCTATGCTATTCCAAATTGAAAACTTTTAACCGTAAACCCAAAAACAAAGCAAATGAGCAAAAATCTGCTTGATTCTGTATGTAGAAAGAACCAACAGCTCTACCTATTGACCTACTACCCTCCCCCCAAAAAAAATGAAACTCAATTCCCAACTCTAATGTCTCCCATGCCCGAGGACCTAGACTCCATTCATTCTGTACATTTTGTTTTTGCACGCGCACCAAACCTAATAGCAATGCCTACTATGCTTCCAGCTTCCGAGGAGAACGTGCTGTCCTATGAGGCCGTGCAGCGTTTGTCCATTAACTATACGCGTCCCGTTATAATACTGGGACCGCTCAAGGATCGCATCAACGACGATTTGATATCTGAATACCCGGACAAATTCGGATCATGTGTGCCACGTGAGTGACAAAGAATTTGAATTTGAATTGCAATTGAAATTTGGGTTCATATCATCATTCATATATATATATATAAATTCTTCTTCACATCAACAGATACCACACGACCAAAGCGCGAATATGAGGTCGATGGCCGGGACTATCATTTTGTGTCGTCGCGCGAACAAATGGAGCGCGATATACAGAACCATCTGTTTATCGAGGCTGGCCAATACAATGACAATCTGTATGGCACCTCGGTGGCCAGCGTGCGCGAGGTGGCCGAGCGGGGCAAGCATTGCATATTGGATGTGTCGGGCAATGCAATCAAGCGCCTGCAAGTGGCGCAACTCTATCCGGTTGCTGTGTTCATAAAGCCCAAGTCTGTCGACTCGGTGATGTGAGTGACTCCAACTGAGACTACTCTATGTCTGTGTGTGTGTGTGTTTAATCCAAATACTTGTTGTTGATTGCAGGGAAATGAATCGTCGCATGACCGAGGAGCAGGCAAAGAAAACATATGAGCGCGCCATTAAGATGGAGCAAGAATTCGGCGAATACTTTACGGGTAAATTGAGAATTGAAATGTGCAAATCAGAAATGATCGGAAATGATACTATCAATATTCCATTGCAGGCGTTGTACAAGGCGACACGATCGAGGAAATATATAGCAAAGTGAAATCAATGATTTGGTCACAATCGGGACCAACCATTTGGGTACCATCGAAGGAATCTCTATGACCAACAGCCACAACAACATGGACACTGCCGCCTCGAGTACGTTGTCGACCTGTGTCGAGAACACCAACAACAACAACAACATCAGCAGCAACAGCAGCAGCAGCAGCAGCAACAAATCAGCCGCAACAAAAAACGTCACATTGATGCACCAACGCAACGACCACGATGACGACGACGACGACGACGACGAAGACGAAGAGGACAATGACGATGACGATGACAACACCAACAGCAGCAACAACAACAGCAGCAGGAGCAGGAGGAGCAACAACGGATGTTGTTCATATTTAGAATTGTTATTGAAGATTTGCTGGCGCCAGTTAAAGGAGAGCCAAAACAATAGAATATCAGGCAACAAGCAGGCAATGCTTTTAGCCAAGTTTGTTTGTGCTTGATTGCTGGCTCAAAGCTCTGAAACTGAAAAGGAAAGCAAAATGATGAAGCGGCAACTGTTTAGTTTAAGTTAGAACAAAATTGATAAAAGAGAAGAAAAAGAAGAAGAAGAAGCAGCAGCAGCAGATAAAACACAAACCGAAGCATATTAATCATAAGATCTACTTAATATGAAGCAGTAGTAGATGATGATGTTGATGATGATGATGATGATGACTATGATGATAAGGAAGAGGAGTGACAGAACGTTCGTTAAGCGCTAGTGTTGTTTGTTTATGTTGATGTTTATACGAGAGTTATAGCGAGTTAGTTATATTGACGCTAATATAATATATATGGTATATTATTATATACACACGCATACACAAGCGACTGTATGTGTATATACATACATATGTATAATAGGTATATGAATCATTAAGTGCGACCAGCGTCAAATATACCACAAAACGTTGAATGATAGCAATTGAAATTGAATCAGTTCAGTCGAATACGACTATATATATATATAGGTATATATGGGTAAATAGACGTTGACGATGACGACGAGGACGATAAGTTGGTGCATTTCTTGTTAGATGTATTGTATTTTTTTTTCCCCCCACGCGCCTTTGCCTAATGCAACACAAATCACATAATAAGCTGCATATATACATAATAGTTTATGCACTCACCCATACACACCCACACACATTTACACATAAACATGTATGTACACAAATACCATGTAGCCTAACTAAAGAAAAGCGTCAGCAACGAGCTATATATATAGAGATATATATATCATTGGGTATATAGAGCGGGAGAGAGGGCAATATCACTTCTTTCAATGCAAAAAGTCATTTAACTATTTAACATACACTATATGCTAGACAGTATTAGCAAATTGTGAATGCGTCTAGCATAAGCATAATACGATCCATACAACATATACACCCATATATATAGTATGTATATATATATGTGGTATAATTTTACAGTTGAATATGCAACAATACCTAAATACCTGGCGGGTATTTAACACATATATATATATACACTTCTTTTTTTTTTTTTTTGTATTGACAGCAACAGATTAGCTAATGTTCTACAATGCGAGAAACAAACAAACAAATTTATAAATTATAGACAACGCACATAACTGCTAATTATCCATTATATATACATATATATATTTTTTTTCTAATTTTCTATATTTTTTCTAAGAAATTTAGTAAAATTCAAGTTAAACAAGTTAAATCTTATGGTTTTTTTTTTGTGCGTGTTTCACATGTGTTTCGCCGCCTTTCCGAAATATTTAGAAAACGAATGAAATGTATACGTTGTGCATTTATGTACATAGCTATATGTCTATATAACATGTATGTATATGTGGAAAGAGGGCAAGTATTTGCATATTATGATTAATACTATCATTATTATTATTATTATCATTTCTTTTTTTTTTTTTAACTTTACTTTACTTTCGTCTCTGTTCTTTATTTTGTAATATCACAATATTTTGTAAATTATGAAACCTTCGATCGCTGAACAGTATCTATGTACGTGCAGACAATGCATAAAAAGTTCTCCTTCTTTCACATTGTACGCAAAATGTATTGTTGTATTTAATAAAACCAACCTAAGCGAATTATATTAATTTAAATCTAAAAAAAAAATTAAATAAAAAATAAAAAAAAACTAAAAACAAATGCAGTAAATGTAATAAAAAAATAAACTACAAAAAAAGAAAAAACAAACATGAAGCAAACAATTTCATCAAGAGCGTAAAAACTTTTTAATCAATTTTCCCCATTTCAAGTGAACTTAATCAAAAAGAGAAGAGCATAATAAAAGAGAATGTGTGAAATAGTTTAAAAATAATCAAAAGATGATTTTGTAAAATTGTTGAAACAGGACACATACACAAACATTTTTTGTGAATATATATATATATACATACACACACCCATATATAAATATATATATATACCCAATTGAGCCACGACTGCGAAAATGTTAATGATGAGAGAGAAATCGATAAATCGAGGCAGTTAATCGATACATGGCACAGATATTGACGAATCTTATGGCGAATATGGGCTGCAATTAGTATATAAGATAGCCAAACAAAAAGAAAATATTTATAGAAAAAAGGAAACGTTATAAGCCTTAGTCGAATTAGCACTCCCTGATGAGCGTTAGGACTGTGTGTGTTTGGGATACCCGAATTCCTTACTCGAATTATGCGATCAACCTAACTTATAGTATATACCCAGATATATGTACATATGTATGTGTACATGTATATATGTAGATGTGCGTGCATGATATATGTATGTACACTTACTTTGATTACGATTAGTGCAAAGAAGACTTCACTCTCCTTAGTATGTACATATTGTACGGAATTTTTGTCTTTCAATCGATTAAACCACAATATAAATTAAATTTATTCTGCCTAACAAAAGAGAAAATGAAAAAAAAAAAACACCCGCCTTGCAATCTCTTTAGCAAAGTACATTGCGCCTGTGTAAGCTAAATTAAAACGGAAAGCAATCTGAAGTACATGAAACCTGATGGAAAACGAATGGAAATTTCAAGAAAATTGGCAAATTTTATGCATGTTCAAATGTTAGTCGATAGTTGAAATACAAAAACCGAGTATTTAGCGTATAAGTGTGCGAAAGAAAATGAAATGAATAGATTTAAATACATACGGTATGTATGTATGAACAGCAGAGGAAGCAGCTGATGTTCACATACTTTGGGGTTTTAAGCCCAACAATTGCGGTAAGCGTTCTTTTTCTATTAGAACATTTTTAGTGTATTAGAAAGTCAAGGTAACTGTTCCAAAGCCTTAAATGCAATTAATTAACGCATTTACGAGTATATCCAAGTTACACACATACATACACAAATTCATTGCTCTACAATACATATATACATATATATATGTATATCTATATGAAATGCCCCTCTTGAGAAAAACCAAAACAAATGACAATTTTTGATGTAGCCTTAGAAAGTATATGCAAGAATTTACAGAAGAAAGAAAATAGAGCATAAATTACAAAAAATAAAAAATATAAAAACAGTACATATATATATATATTAGGGCTAATACTGAAAGGCATTTAACGATTCATTGTTCAAAAAAAAAAGAAAGAAAACGAAAACGAAAACAAAAATGAGATTTATCGTAAATTTTGTCAGCGTATACTTAATAATTATTGTGGAAGCATTTCATCAAAATGGTGCCTTTATCAGTTATTGTTGTCGGTATTAAACAAAACGAGAGTAAACCCAAGAAACAAAACAAAATGAATAAATAATGAGTAAAACAAAGCTAAATGCAAGAATTACATAAATTTTGTATAGTTAAGTACTATTATTAATCCATATTGCAGCACATGCTATTTATAGTAAATGAAAAGAATTCTAATGAAAATCTGCAGTTGCGGGCTGTGATTTCTGCTCGAACATACTCACAAACACACACACACACACACACACCCATACACACACATATATATATAGATATATTACTTCTTAAATGTCAGCTTAAGCAGTTCAGTTCAAATATATTTGCAAATCGTTCGATTGTAGTTGAAGCCATTAGACACCAACTCCTGAATCCCAACAAAACGAATGAAACATGGCAATTTATTTAACATATATCGACAGCATTATATATAAATATCTATGCAATTGCTATCATCAAAAGATTTGTTGTTATTGTTACAGTTTTTCATAAAAAAAAAAAGAAAAAATGATGAAGATAAAACAAAAAGAAAACTAACATAAAATGTATCCTAGTACAACTTATTCGATTGCCTTTTCGATTTGCATTACATATATGTTCTCCATTAGCCTATAAGTGCTTATACACACACACATGTATGTGAATTGAAATTGAATTGTTGAAAACTAGCTAAAAGCTGTACTTAATTCCAATTGGAATCGACACTGGAATCCAATCTGCAAGCAAGCTGTTAACTGTTATTGATTTCACTTACTCCCCAAATATTATTTTAAGTTTGATTGATTGGGAAAGTCTTTCGAATGGTTTGCTATGCTTTGTTAAATATACTAGTTAATTCCAATTCCATTTCCGAATTTCCTGTGCAGTTGCTGAAACCATTGAGACAAAATGAATATACTACGGATATATGTATGTATGTATGTATATATATAGAGGCATTCAAGTGCCGTACGGATTAACGAAAACAATCTGACAATTCGCGGTCGTGGCACACATACAAATGCACTTACACACACACCCACACTCACACACACACAGAGAGAGAGAGAGAGAGATGTAAGCATTCACGTTTGTATTTATAGATATATACACCCATATTCATATGCATACGATATATATGCATATGTATGTACATATGTGTATGCATGTTCTAGTTAATATTGAAGAAATTCCACACACCGACAGCCACGCCCACACCCACGCCCACACCCACTCCCACATACACGCACACACAAATTAGTTGTAAAGATTCAATTTGTGAACTCTACATGATGTATTATTTGAAAAGTTCATCAAAATGATGCAACATTCGTAATAAACAAGAAATTCAATACGTAAACAATGTCTCTAACTAAGCGGAATACACTTGAACGTAGATAGCTTCCAATTGGAATATTTCCAATCGAATATTTGAGTAGTGCGTGCGTGCATCGATAGAGTCCCATTAGTCTAATTGGAGTGCTGAGAGGTTATGTCATTTGTTGTGCTGCGTGCGCAGATATATATCGAACTGGACGAGCGTAATGAAGTAGGAGAAGGCCGTTACGGAAATTAGATAGATGAGACGACGATCCAGATGCACCAGGCCGCAGAGCATCGGCTGGCGGCAGTGCCTCAGCAGCAGCGAGAACTGTTCCAGCTGGAAGACAATTGACAAATGGTTAGCTAACTGGCATCCAATTGGAATCGGTGCATAGTTTGGTTGGGGCACCTCTTGGTTCAGGCTTGCCGGAGAGTCACTGAACTGGCGCACGGTGAGGGCCAGACGCGTCTGCTCCACCTTGATATGCTCGCCAACCAGCGACACCAAGTACGTGTCCAGGTAGAAGCCCAGCGCATAGAGGCCGCTCACTGCAACCGGAAGGGAGATGAAGGCGCGCGAGCTCCTCGCCAGCAGATTGAAGATGGTAAACAGATTGGTCAGGTTGTTGATCAGCGTGGCCAGCATCAGGCCCAGCAGCTGGAACTGATGCATGCGAAAGCTATCCGTGTACAGAGCGTGTATCTGGGCGTAGCGCTGCCGCAGCAACCCAATCCGAACGCCGAGCAACAGCCTGCCGCGGCCCAATCGCCGCAGCTGCTCGAGCTCGGCCTGCAGCTGCATGTGGAGCAGGCGAAAGTAGAGCAGCACACAGCTGTTCACATAGTAGAAGTAGTCGGCCATGTTCTCCGTATAGTTCCACAGGACGAAGGCGTAGATGGCGAACTGAATACGCAGTCGCCTCCCTTGGCCAGAAGCCGAGTCTGAGTCCGAGTCTGACTCTCCAGCTCTGTCGATGCGGGCAACGGCCAAGATCGCACAGATCTGGACAATCATCATCAGGTTAATCAGCACGAACTTGAGGTACATGAACAGCTCGAAGCGGCGCTTGGGCCAACCGGATGCACGGTAGCTGGCCGCGAACGACGCCTGGAGGCGGGCGCGCTGCAGCGAGCAGCGCCGGTTGATGGCCTCGAAGTGGCAGGTGTTCGCCACATAGGTGACAATCACGGTGGCGTACTTGATGAGCGTGTTGGCGAGGCCCACGTACAGCACCAGCTGCATGCGGCGGTCCGCCGTGGCAGTGAGCGCGCGGTAGTTGTAGCCAAAGTAGCCGGGCAGGACGACAATCAGCAGCAGGCTCAGCGCGTGGCTGTAGGCGATGAGCAGCGACTTGAACGGCGCCCGCATCGGCTGCTGCGGCGCATAGTCTATGATCACCTGGCCGCAGATGCTCGCATAGATGTGGCCATACCTGTAGAACTTCAGCTCGTGCCGTTCCCAGAAACTTTGCGACTTGGCGCACATGCCGCACGCTCGGCCAGCCGCAGCTGCACTGAACTACCGTGCCGTGCCACACTGCGGCATGCGGCATGTGGCATGCCAGTTGAACCAGTTGAGCCGATGGCTATCTTAAATGTATTATATACAGAGCCAATGCACAAACAAGCCTGCCTAAAGTGCCTCGCTTTGCTCTTCGACTTTCCCTAGCAATAGAGCATATATAGAACATATAATGTGCTGATGTAAAAAGATTCTCTCTACCAATACAGCACATGTTAGTGTTCTGCCGAATAGATTTGATTCCTTTATTATCCGATATTCACTTTATAACTATATTCATTTGATTTCTTCTAATAAGCGTCTAACATATTCATGTTTATCTATCGCATATGAATATCATATGACATTAACTATATATTCATTATCGAGTTGGGATGATATGCCCATCTACTCCTTTCTCCATCTGTCCGCCTGTTTCTCCTTTGTTATATTTATTGATATTCTTGCTATATCTGTCCTCTTCTCTATATTTTTCTATCTGTCCGTACGTCTGCCTCTCTGATTGTTCACCAGCCATCCTCAGTCTATCTTATCGTTTATCTGTCTGTCGGTTCTTCCGTTCCTCCGTTTACCTTTTCGTCTGTCTGTCCGTTTATTCGTCCGTCCATCCACCCGTCCGTCTGTCTATCCATCCTTCCAAATGTTCTTCTACCTTGTCTGACTATATATATATAGATATGTATGTATATATGTATGTCCGTTCTTTCGTTCTTTTGTCCGTCCGTCTGTTCGCCCGTTCATACGTTCGTCCATCTGTCTATCCGTTCTTCTATATATTCGTCTGTTTATCAGTTTGTACTTTATTCCTCTGTCCATCGCTCTGTTGGTTCGATTGCCTAGAATGCCTGTGGGTCATGAGCGTAGTCCATGCCTAGGATTGAAAGGACTTGGCCAGGGCAATAATGGAACCAGATGTCTGCAATATCTGAAATAGCAAGGACTTATAGTAATTACATACATATATAAGGAGCACTAGGGCACGCACTGAGGTAAAGGTGACGAGAGAGGGCGAAAAAAACGGCACTGCCATTGTGAGACCACGCTGTGAGCGCATTATGAAAAGATGAACGCAGAGACGGTGCTTGGGCAAGCACTGATGCCATGGAGCACTGCCCATGACAATGGCCAGCTTGGTACTCTGTAAGAAAAAAGAAGGAAAAGTGGATGAAAGCACCGTCCTTTGGCTAATTTTAATGGGCTGAGCACTAACACTCTCCGTGACCAGAGTGCCGCCGTAGCAGTAGATGAGCAGCTGGCTGAGCGCGGCCACGGTGTAGCTCACGTAGAGAAAGGTGTTCAGGCCTTTGTCGCCGATGGTCAGTAGATTGAAGATGCTGAAGCCAATTACCATGCTGGCCGAGACGAAGTGGGCCAAGGTGATGGTCACAAAGCGCTGCCTGAAGAAGTGCGTCAGCTCAAAGATCTCATTCTGCCGCTTGATCAGCTTCACCAAGCTTGCCTCAAAGACGGCGCCGTTGTCCCCGCTTATCTGTGACAAATCTAAACGAGAAGCCTCTACTCAGCAATTAGAGTGCAAAAGAATGCTGCATTACCCTACCTCGGTAGGGTCGAAAGAGCGTGTGAATATCCGCCTGGAGGAATTCGAAGAGCGTGGCGATGTTGACACAAAACTCGAAATAGAAGGCGTCACAGCCTCCGAACATGAAGATGGTCACGTAGCCCGTGTAGGCAATGAATATGAAGGTAAGCGGATAGAACGGTGCATGTAGTAGCCAATTGGGCATGCTGCAAAGATGGCTCTCAGCTGGATTCAGATGCAGTGTGTTGGCATCCCACTAACTTACGTCATATTGAAGGGCATACCCCAGACGATTTCATCGGTACATCCATTTAGGTAGAGCAGCAGCACTACCATCAGTGGCTTCAGATTGTATAAGCTGCTCGTGGAGAAGCCCGCGGACACCGGCCAGAAGTTCAAGCGACACGTCATCAGGAAGTGCCGACGCATCACCTTTTCCTTGACGGGCGTCTGGCCGACGGTGGGGAACAGCATCTGGCGCTGCTTAGTTACGATGTAGAGCAGGTCCTCGCGAGCCTGCAGCAGAAGGAACATTTTCAGCAGGGTGACCGCCGAGGTGCCAGCCGGACAGAAGGTCTCCAAGGCGACCGTTATCTCGCCCCGCCTGGCACACCGATAGCCGGCGTGCAGCTCCGTGGCCACGCCTATGGCCAGCACCACAAAGTTGATGTAGGCTCGCCAATGCAACCGCTCCGGCCAGAAGCCCATCAGATTCATGCACAGACGCGGCACGGCGTAAAAGTATGTGGCCAGCGGCTGATTGCCGTGCAGGAACCGGAAGTTACTGTCGACAGCCATGCTGGCAGTTCGTCTTCTATTTACGCCCTGAGCCGTGCTTGGCTCTTTTATAGAACCAGTTAACCGATTGGCCTACTGCTAATTGGCCTGTTGTTCAAGCAATTAGATAACTTTGGCGTTCAACTTGCGAAGCAAAAGTTTTGGCACAAGGTTACCCAAAAGGCAATGTGTCCCAGGAAGAGCTGACCAGGTGGCCATTGTCCATTATTTCGAAATTTAATATTCGGCCATAGCTCATCTCATATATGTATGTAATACCTGGTCTAACCTTAAAATTAATGCAAATTAGAATTGCGAACCATCAAAAAGCATTTATCCCATTAATTTTTCATGCACCGCCCCTTATCTTGTGCATTTTTATTTTTTATTTTATTTTAATTTTTTATTTTTTTTTTTTTTCTATTATAGTTTTATTGCAGCTTTTGTTGTTGACTCTATAGCGCATTTATACATCTTGTATTTTATTAAAGCTGCCCAATTCTTGTCCCATAAGCAGGCTAAGAACCCTTTAGATCTGCATCTACACTTATCTAAGGCATACTTTAAGGCATTGGTGTCCCATCTCTTAGCTTGAAAAAAAAGTAGTTCATATATATTTCGATGTACATAAGAAATACAATATATACGATATAAGTTAGATCTTAAATATGAGATAAGTTCAAAGAGAATGGCGAATATTGGATTATGGAGGTATATAAAATATATAATTATTATTATTTTATTTTATTTTTTTTTTAGTTTTTTTTTGGTGTTTGAGAAGATAAAGTCGGCGTCGAAGAAGCAGATGAACAAAGTCAAAAGTGCTTCGGGAGTTAGTATATATGCGATGCGGATTACTTTGAAGCCCATGAAATATATTAAGGAAAATCTTCATATAAAAGGAAATATATTTTTTAACAGCCTTTAAATAGAGACAAATTTATATGCGAAGGAACGCTATATTTTGTATGTTTTCCAGTTTATATACATGTGTATAATTTTATAAATTATCTTATACATATATACTATTTTTATATATACCTTACCTTATACTCTTTTTCAATTAGAATATTCAAAATCGAATATTTATATTAGGCACTCTATATATTATTAATAATTGGCACTGACATCACAATAGTTTTTTTTTTTTTTTTTCTGTACCTCTTGTTTTATTATTAAATATTGAATCAGTGCCACTAAAATTTGGTATTTCCAATTATGAAGTATAGTAAAGCTCTACTTATGATCGCAATGGAACTTTTATTTTTGGTATTATAAAGTGGAGAGGCTGTACAAATATTATTTAATTTAAGTAAAGCTAAATTCCTTTATTTAAAGGGTACTTTAGAGAAACTTTGTCCTATCTGTTATGAAGTATTTTGGCTAAGTCATCTCAGATCATAGCAGATAGATGCTAAGCTGAGTATTCCTTACATTATTCCCTTTTACAGCTGCATAGCTCTATTGCATTGAGGCATACTGTAGGGCATTTCTTTGCTTAGCTTCACAAAGAATAGTTCAAATATTATATATTTTATTTTATTATATTATATATATTGTATAGGTGCGAAACTGAGTCATATGTAGGACAACACTCTGAATCAGATCCATTTACATTTACTATTTGCAAGTCTCGAGCTTTTGTTGCGCTTGCTCTCGAGTTTGCTTTGCTGAGCTCATGCGGATGAACAGATTGCTGGGTCTACCAACTCAGCCACGCCTCCTTCTGTCACCTCCTATACCCCGAGCCAATTGCAGTGTGAAATATATGCATCAATTGGCATTTTCAGTGGGTCCAAGCCTGAAGTAATTAAATGAATAATCTCATACCACGATCACTCAGCCAGGGGCTAGCCAGCCTATGGGGGGGTGGTGGGAAAGGGTTGCGACATGGGAAGTGTTGCGGGTGTTATTTAAGAGTCGAATATGCGATAATCCAGAGCAGAGAAAACTTACATAAACAATCAACTGGAAAATTGGTCAGCTCTGATGGGCTCGACTCTTGCTGTTGCTTTTGCTTTTGCTTTCGCCCGATTGTTCAGAATTATTGCAGTATTTTTGCAAATTGAATCAACGCTAATTGGCTGCTCAGAAATTGTTCTATTTTGCAGTTATTACTAAATCGCAGCTAGCTGGCAGCTAGAGGGGGGAGGGAGGAGGAGCGTTGATGGCAGGAGAGGGACAGCTGGCTTTGGCACTGGCACTGAATCTATCACCTGACCGCACTGCTTGCAACAACAACAACAACAACAACTACAACAACAACAATACTGTGAACACTTACACGCAATCCAATTAGAACAAATTGAGGCAAGCCGTGGAGTCAATTGAGTACGTCGCATGATGTTGCCTGGCATTGTTTCAAGTGTATAGAGGGGGAGGATTGACAACTGTTGCTGTTGCTGCTGCTGCTGCTGCCGCTGCTGTTGCTGCTGCTGCCGCTGCTGCTGCTGTTGCTGCTGCAACACACCAACAGCAGATCACGAGATCAAGCCTTCTTCTTCTACATGTGTTTTTCATATATATATTCATTTGGATTATTTGCGCCCTTGACTGACTCGTCGTCATTATTATCATTATTATTATTATTATTATTGCTGATGGTTAAATTCTGGCTGCGGCATGGGATATATTTGTGGGGTGCTGTCACCGCGCTGCACATGACCATTAGATAAGTTTATTATAGAATAAATACGCGCTGTGCCCACTCATAAAGAAGTTAAGCAATTTCAGCTCTTTAAAGCATAAATTGTTTAATAGAGTTTGACGCGACAATTGGTGGAGGGCTGATATATATAAAAAACAAAAAAAAAAAAAGTGTCACCTCTTATATATACCCTATAATAATCGTAATTGCCAATGTGAGAGGGAAAAGAACGAGGGAGAGAGAGAGAGGGATAGAAAGAGAGAGAGAGATCAAAATAGTTAGATGGGGTATAGAAGATGAGCGAGAGATACGCAGTGAGATAGAGAGAGTAAAAGAGAAAGCAGAGATAGAGTGATAAATAGAAGGGAGGGCAAGGGTTCGAGAGAGAGAGAGAGAAAGAGAGAGAGAGAGAGAGAGAGAAAGAGGGGGAGAAGAATAAGAGAATGAGAGAATTGTGCAAAAAATATAAGTTAAGAAGGAGACAGAATTATTGATAGAGAGAGAAACATATCAACAGAGAGAGAAGCAGCGAGAGCGAGAGGGGGAGAGAGAGCAAGAGAGATAAAGAAATTTATATAGACAAATAGAAATAGAAATCGAAAGTGTAATAGAAATCGAAAGAGTAATAGAAATAGAAATAGAAATAGAAATAGAAATAGAAATAGAAATAGAAATAGAA